AAGAGCTCTTTGACAAATCTTTGTAAGTTAATATGGTGGCGTCCATCGAGTAGCTAAGCTTATTATACTTTTATAAATTATTAATTCTTATATACTTTAATATGTTACTGAATTATTATATTACCTCTATTTCGGTACAAACTAACCCTATTATGTTTTCCGAACAAACAAACAAACAGTTGTGATATGTGTTAAATTATTTCATGAAAGCATGGAGTAAGAACTTATTGCATTAATAATATAGTGTCTTTATGTCTTAAATACTTGATCGATTTAATCTGAATATTGCACGTCTGGTCTAACTACTTTAATTTCTATCTGTTACAATTGGCACTAAGCCAAGTGTTAGCAAATTGTCGTTGCTTACTATCCATGGTCTTATAGCGTATAATGCTATGCAGAATGCAGATGTATAAATAAATGTTGTGGTAAAGGTTATTATGGTCCCTCATCTACTTAGAATTAGTTACCTTATCGGACTTTATTTGAACGGACATTAATTAGACGCTAGGGGCTCTAGCGTTCATTTTCATGTCCGTTCAAAATTATGTCCGTTCACGCCATGTCCGATTAAATAACGTCCAATAAGGTAGTCTCTGCAAACTCTGATGAGTGGAGGTAGGATTAATTGGTACCCGCTGAAATTTAGTGTGAAGATATCGGTTCTAATATAAACATTGGTTACTGCGACTAACAAAATAACTCTTTCAATTAGAGTTTACCAAATACAAGGCTATTTGTGAACATTTTGCATTTTATTCTGTAGAATGGAATCTAGCAATTTCCAAGGTTCTATCGTTTCAAAACAACGTACTATGAGCTATTCAAAATAGTCCGATGTCGAGCTCAGATTTCAGCAAAATACATGGATATTTTGTTCAATTTTTAGCTGCACGGCGGTTTTTAAATAGCAATATCTCAGCAATCCGAGTGTTCTTTAAGAGTTATGGCCGTGCGTTCTGAGATAAGCTTGTAGCTAGATTTATACAGTGATACCAAAAATTTCAAAATCCGTGAAACTGAATGTTATCCACCTACTCTTTAGAGTTTGTCATGATGATTGGAGCTTCACCTGCTACTTCTGTGCTTTTGACTCGAACATTTATTCTGTCGAGGGTATTAACTTTTGATAACAAATTCAGAAAAACACGATCTAAATGTAAAATTAAAATGTCATTTCAACGGATCTTGAATTATTTGTAAACAAAAGTTCGTCAAACTCGTCAACAGTGGAACCCAGTAGCAATCCAATGCACGTCACATTGGTTACTGATCATTTCCGCTGCTGTTGCTTTCCCCACTGTTTGCACCACAAAATTGTTCTCGCGGATATAACCCCGCTCAATGAACACGGATACAGGGTGTCCCAGATAATATCCACTTACCGTGGCGGATACCACTGGTGCAGAAACAAAGCCACACTCTACAATGTTGATATTTTTAAAGCCTGCTCCACTTTCATAATCCATCCATTGGTAAGGTTTAGGTTCGTCGTATCTGGAGACACCAGAGCAAGTCAAGGCACATGGTGGGGGACCAGTTTCACCATCTGGAGTGCTCACTATCTTGACTTCTCCCTGGAAAGAGAGTTTAACTAGCATCACAGTGAACAGACAGCAGAGTAACTTCATCTTGGAAAGAGTTGGGACACGCTACTAAACAACTTGTTTAATTTATGAAGCTTGCTGTGCTTATGAGTGATCCATCCAGCCTATATGTCTCCATGAACAGTCCTTATTAAATTTGGATTATTAAACTAGACGGAATACTTGACATTATGGCCTAGTTTTCTAAATTCTATTGTTTTAACTCAACAGCTGTGAAAGTTGTAAATTCTCGTTCTGTAATTTTCATTGTCAAAGCTATACATACTGTAATTGTCAAAATTTGAAGACAAATTAATTTAATTATTAAACAAGTTTAGGGAGTTATTATTATTACTTTTATTTGAACGTTTTGACCTGCAGCTTATATTTGGAATGATTCCTCGATAAAAGACAACATCTCGATTCTCGCTATGTAATAATATATCTATAAGTTGATAATTGAGATGTGATTGATCAGTTATACCGTTCCATCGAAGTTCAGTCTTACAATAATCACAATACAATTCTGAGAGTTGAGCTAAAATTTCAAGCGGACCAGATGCAGAGTTAACGCTAAGATAATTATATATAAAATTAATACCGAGATAGATAATGCAGGTATTGAAGTATTAGCAATCCTTGACAAGATATCAGCGTTGATTCATTGATTCTGAGACGACAGTTATAACGTTAGTGTGTACTTTAAGGTTACAGTTACAAGAGAATGAGAAAACAATCAAACAATAGTTCAATTCAGAGAGAGAGAGTTCAATTCAACAAACATTAGTTTAAACTTTAACACTAACTGAACAATAGGAGAAAGTAACAATCACAATATATCTGGTAGATCAACAATTAAACCCGTTAGCAACCCAATAAACATCGCATCTATTAGACACCATCTGTAGGTAGGAAGCATCAGCTGCTGTCAGCACAGAGAACCCTGCCTGGGAAACATCCTTGATGTAGATAGATGTACACCTGTATTTAGGGAGGCCCTCCCAAGGTCCCCTCACTGTGGCGGTGATAACTGGGGCACTAACAAACCCACAATCTGAGATGGTGATGTTCTTTATTGCCTGTCCGTTTAGCTTCTTCCATATGTGATCGTTTGTTTCGTCGTATTTAGAAATACCAGAGCATGTTAACGCACAGGGAGGGGGCCCGGTGTCTCCATCAGGAAGATTTAGAATCTTCAGTTCAGCCGTGAGAGTGGAGGTGATTAACATCACAGTAAGCAGCCAGCTGAGGAGCTTCGTGGTGGAGGTAGTTGAGAAACGTTACTAAAATAGTGTTAAACTTCGAGGTTTAAAACTGATTATGATTTAGAGAGAATAGCCCAACCTATATTTATATCTTCTGATTGAATTTTGTACGCTATTAATGAGTGGAACTCGAAATTTGGCCCATTCTTATTTTAAGCTTAATTTGTAAATCTTATTATGTACTACCAGCTGCAGACAATGACAGTTCTTAATATTAATATTAATACCTTATAGACTGTAGTCTTGGAGCTACTATCGCATTAGCACGTACTTGTGAACTTGGCGACCATTAAATCTTAGTGATTTTATTAGATAGTTGTAAGACGTAAGTGTAACATTTCTATTTTACCGCACCCCGAACAGATTTACTCTTCTGTTATCTACTGAATATTTCTAAGACTCAGACTGTAGATGATAGCGGGGAGTAGGGACGTTTAATTTATAAAGATGATAAAACAATTAAAACGAGCTTGGAGGTCGGTGGAAGCTGTAGTTTAATTCAACAAAATTCAAATATTCCGGAATAACTAGTCTCTTGTGTCTTCTCAGCAATTGTAACCATGCGCACTCCAATAAACATCACAATCCACGTTGATTAAATCTCTGGGTTCCGCTTTCACAGCCGTTGTTACGACGAACCATGTCGTTTGACTGTACGCGTTCTCTATGTAGACAGGCGGACATGGCGCATTGCCAGCATGTCCACTCAGTGTCACAGTGACAACTGGTATAGATGTAAACCCACACTCCCCGAAGTCTACACGTCTGTCTACGTATTTACCCATACGGCTCCACCTGTATGAATTGTTAGCCTCGTCTCCAGCGGCGATGCATTTAGCGACACCAGTGCAAGTTATTGCACATGGTGGAGGACGGGAGCGACCGTCTGGAGTGCTCACTATCTGCAGCTCTCCCTGGAGAGAGGTTAACTAGGATCACAGTCAACAGACAGCAGAGTAACTTCATCTTGGTAAGAGTTGGGACACGCTACTAAACAACTATTCTGTTTTTATAGCTTGCAGTGCTTATGAGTGATCCATCCATATCCACTATCCAGCCTATATGTAACAGTCTTTATTAAATTTGAATTATTAAACTAGACGGAATACTTGACATTATGGGCTAGTTTTCTAAATTCTATTGTTTTAACTCAACAGCTGTGGAAATTCTCGCTCTGTAATTTTCATTTTCTTAGATTTATGAAAAAATTAAAGTTGTTTCAGCTACAATAGTTTAGTTTCTCATCTCAAAGCTTAAACTGAAATGATCAAATTTGAATAAACTAATTTCACATAATATAGCTCAACATAATACAGCGCTACATAATAAAGACTGCAAAGTAGAGGCTGCACAAATTACGATCCCCTGCACTTTGCAGTATATTGAACCTTGTTTGGGTTGATCTGCACTTGTACAGCAGAGAAGTTAGGATACTTTAGAATGTATCAATCATTAAAGAATTGCTCTTACCTTCGACTATAAACTTATAAACATCAGCACAAGATTAACTTGTGACTTTAAATAGCGCCCTCTGGGAGTTTATTCCTCTTCTCTCTGATAGGGTATTATTGCTAATTAAATGTGACAGTAATAATCAGTGTTATGTATATTTTGGGAGAAAATAAAACAGCCGCCGTGAATCTCGGTTCAGGCTAAATCAGGACGCAGTAAAACAGACACGGTAAATCGGGGTTTTACTGTACCATGTAACAAATATATGCCATCAACTCAAACTATTTAGCATAGTATTTTAAATGTATCGCATATTATGTACAAATATGTACACATACTATATTGTACTGTGTACATGTTCGTGTATGCCAGCTGCTGTACTGTTAATGTTGTACTGTAAGTTGAATTCTAATAATACTGCTGTTTACTAAGGTTACTAAGGTAACTAAGGTTACTAAGGTAACTAAGGTTACTAAGGTTACTAAGGTTACTAAGGTTACTAAGGTTACTAAGGTTACTAAAGTTACTAAGGTTACTAAGGTTACTAAAGTTACTAAGATTACTAAGGTTACTAAGGTTACTAAGATTACTAAGATTACTAAGGTTACTAAAGTTACTAAGATTACTAAGGTTACAAGGTTACTAAGGTTACTAAGATTACTAAGGTTACTAAGGTTACTAAGTTACTCTGTTTCAGTGGAGGTGTGGGACGGTACGGAGGGACCTGTAGTTTGGCACAAGTTGGAGGAGACCAACAGGTTGTCCTTACAGCGAGTACTGCAGACCATCAACACCACTGCTTTCGAGGACTCAGAGTACGGACTTTCTCTTCTCTTCTTTCTTTTCTTTCTTATCTTTCTTATCTTTCTTGTTTTAGGTTTTTGTTAATGATACCATATTATTTTATATGTCATATTTGATTAACATTCATGTTATATCATCGTTATCAGATCATCATATTATATTCCATCGTTCTTGTCATTTAATGACTCATATTCTTATATTCTTAACCCTGTAGAACATAAACTTAAGCTTGTTTGATCTTTCTTAGAAACTCAATCAATATTACAATATTTTTATCTCCCGGCCCCATTTGGTAATTACAGTGGTAAATACAATGGTTTATGGTCGCTTAAAGGGAGTCGTTATAACAAGATATCGGGTTTGTGACCTGATTATGCCATCAATCCCAGAGGGTGCACTAAGGACTCCTAAGTTCTAAGTAATCCCATGATTTGGTTTATTCAGCCGAATGATAGGGAAATATGCGATTTATAGTTAATAACGAGGAAGGACCCTGCCAAAAGATCTGGAATCTTCTAAGATTTAGTGCACTGTAAACTTTAGTAAAATATTAATTTCACCCCACAATACCATCTCCAAAATGATTTCAACTCTTACAAATTACCTGACCAATGCTATAATGTGATTATCACGTGACCACTGATCAGTAGGCATATCAGGGTGTCACGTGACCACTGCACTGACCAGTAGGTCTAATTCTAATCTATTCTAATCTATTGTAACTTGCTCCAGGTTACCTCTGTTCATTAATCTGGAGAGTCACTGCTCGCCAACTCAAAACGTTGTAGTCGCCAAACTCTTCAAAGACGTCTTCCAAGGTGGGTGATAATAGATATTATGTGGGTACATGCTTGTTCCATAGTTATACTACTAGTTACCATAGTTACACTACTAGTTACCATAGTTACTCAACTAGTTATCATACATACTTGTAAATAAGTGGGTACAAACTTGTAAATATGTGGGTGATTACTAATTATAGATATGATATGTGAATGATTATAAGGTCAAGTTCGTAGACAACCTGTACATAAAATCAGTCACTAATTACACTCATTTCACTGCCATAAACGGTAAAATTAATTATAATTCCTCTGACAGTCCAAGGGGTACAGGCTCTTCAGATATTATACTCCTAACCTTTCTATAATGATATCTGGGTTCAAAATTTAAATAACTCAACCTTGGTGGAGACAGTGGCCACCTGAAAATTACAAAAATAAAGGAGCTGTAAATCACTTATGAAAAAAATATTTACTCCAAATTTCACAATTTAAAGTTACGTAAGACAGGTGGGTACTCAAAAAGTGCCGGTTGAGCAGGTTTGTCTGCTCAACACAGGTGGAGCAGCTCACTGACTACATGAGCTAATATATGTGACTAGAACTAACCCTCTCATGCTTTTTAATTGCTCCAAAGTCCTAATATTTAATATTATGGGTTATACCTTGATCATATTTCATAGAATAGGATCCTCAGAATCGGCTCAACCGAGGTGGAGACAGCATAACATGCAGTTCAAAATCTGTTACTCTGTAGTTTAGGAGCTGTAGAGTGACTGTGGCAGTCCATTTGCAATACCAATGATTCTAAATCATCTACCAACTCATATTACAAGGCATCCTTGCTGAAAAGTACACTCAACATAGGTGGAGACTCAAATTTGGCAAATTTGGGCGTAAATTTGACCTCAGAATTCAAGGTTCTCCACCGCGGTTGAGTGGTTGATGGCTAGTTTTATGAGTTGTATACATGCTAAAGGGTCACCCAATGTTATTTCTTCCAGAAATCAACTGCCATAGCTTAACTCAACCCGGTGGGGCCAGTTTTAATACATTTTTTAATGTTTTAATGTTTAATCAACAATTTCTCCACCTTGTTGAGCACCTTTTCACAACTTTGATAGTTTTTTCATTTGCTAGAACACTTTGCTTTAAGACAGAAGAGGTAACAGTTTTATGATCCCCTACAGTAGCAGTTAACAGAGCAGATTAGAATTAGTGATAAAACCAATGAATTTAGGCATGTTTGACAGGCTTTTTACTGTTTCTTAATGAAAGATCTCCACCCTGTTGAGCGTCAATGGAAAAAACAAAATTTAACGGGAAGTAGAAAAGGCCAAGACACAACTCTCTAGCTAACCTAGAACTCTCTAAACCTTTCTCCACCCCCGGTTGAGCAGCTTTGAAAAGTGCATTTAATTTCTCCACCTCGGTTGAGCACTTAAATAAAATATTGATAAAACCATCAGATTGCAAATTTGATGTAGTTTGTGTTACCAATAACCTTTTCCACCTTAATCAAAAGTTTCTTCAACCAGAGCCAGTCTCCACCTTAAATCTCCACCTTTTAAGGGTTTGTTTAATACCACCTGTATCTGCTCAACCGTTCAACCTTTTATTTATTTATTTTTACTCAGAGAAAGTCCTGAAAAATGTCTTGTCAGCCATATAATCAGGGAGTTTCATTCTGTGTTGAGCTGGCTCCACCACACACTTCTAAAAAAGTAAAAAATGTACAGGTTGTCTCCGAACTTGACCATAACTTATTATTCCTTACAACTTTATGAACGTGTTATGAGTTTTAAGCTGTGAATGAAATGTTATAAAATATATCTTGCTATCTCAGCTCACATTGATAATTGGTGCGAAATTTTCCAATTATTTTATATTGTATAGCGTGTAGAAAAAGCATGATACAAATATTGTAGCTACTGTATAATGTGAAGTCCCTGAATGAGTTTGTAGGGCAGCTGATAACTTAATAATAGATATTATATATTATGAAGGAGCACTGATAACCTGCAAGTTATTAGCTACTCTTTAAATTATAAAACACACAGCCAGTTCTCAATATACCACTGGTAATATTTATTGGACTAAATATTAAATATAAATATCATATATTAAATAAATTAAATGTTAATTGAAATGTTGGCAAGGACTATTTTCACACAGGGCAGCTGTGAGTTATGAACTGATTGAGTTGATAGACGTTCAGCGTATTTTCTGTTATGAAATCATATGTCTATTTCTCAGAATTTAATATTCTAATTTTGTTATTAAATTACTAAGGAGCGTAATATCATTAATAATAATATTTCTCCTTAGCTTATCTTATCTTCTTATCTTATGCTTAGTTTGGTAATAATTCATTATAATCACCTTGCGAGAACAACTAACGTTGCAGCGGGTGGATTATTCATAATATTGAAATTGTAATAATATTATATGATTATGATAATAATATTATGTTTCTACCCTCGCATGGCAAATGTTGGTCAGAGCGGGGGGGTACCAATGGCATAAATGGCATAATGGAGAATTGGCCAAACAAAAATTCCATTTATGCCATGAAATTTCTATGCCATTTGATGAATTTTATGCCATTTGTCTCCATTCTATGCCATTCGAAATATGAAATTTTAAAACTTTGACCTGAGAATTTAATAACGAATTGTCTGCACCCCACTAGTACTGTCCACCTTTATCTCTATTTATTGTACTAGTACAACATCTATTTTCACCCATTAAATTCCTCAAAATATCCCTAGCATTGGGCATTATTGATTATAATGACGTTCAATGTATATCAATATGATATAAGAATTTGTTTGATAGTGGACAAGTGACCGGGCAGTATGGCATAGTTGATAGTACACGCTACACACCATATAACAGAGAGGACAGTCGACTGGGCTGCCAGACCTTGGGTCAGAAGTGATATGACCACCATATACGTCATCAAGTAATTAACATGCAAGCTTGAAGCTTGTGGCGTATAATTAGTGATGTGATCCATGGATTGAATATAATTGACCTATAAATGGCTAGATCTGGGGTAGAGTTCATATGGACTCCGGATCCTGAAGAATACTGGCGAAATGATTCCAGAACTCTAGGGGATATGTGGGAGGAACATATCAAAGAGGATAAATTGTTCGTCTCTTCTCGTAGATGTGCAGCTGGGAGGAAGAACGAATTCAAGAGTGGTCTTGACCCCTCTTGGGGGCCGGATCAGTTCTCTGACCCTAAGTCTCCCAATGGTCGACTGAATGCTCCGATCCCAGTCAATCGGATATCCAAATTAACAGTGGAAAACTGTAACATTACCAACTCGATTAAAATATTATTTGTTAATGATGTGTACAGATGTTTCGTGTCGGGACCGTGTTCATGTTGAAGGTTTTTAAATTTAAACATTTTCATAAGATTGATATATATATATAATAACATCTATAAACAAAAGAGCACCTAAAGAGGCTCAGCAAAGTGCTGGCCTATTTACGCTTACGAAGACTCATTCGTTCAATATGTCTCAAAGTAAATAAACTCCTCCATCCTACTCTATCTCTTGCTAAGTTCACTAAGTTGGTAAAATCATCTTCATTTTTCAAATAAATTTGTCTCTTAAATAGGTCCTTTTTCACAATAATATCATACAAATTAGTCCTGTGTCTACCCACTCGTCCCTTTAGTGTTTGACATCCTAGTGTAGCAAATAACAGAGACTGGTAGGCAGGCGTGTCGTTGTCACTGCGTAGAACACGACATAGCATTGTCCACCGTGCCTTTTCCACTCTCTCGGAAAGGGGCCTGGTCTGGGAACGAGCGTAGAGGGCCTTGTTAGATATTGAGCTAGGCCAATAGATGTGTAGGATGCGCTTGAGGTGCTTCCTCTGAACAACATCTACTGACTCTAGAACATGCTGAGGTACGGCCCAGCAGCAGCAGTTGTACAGGAGCACTGATACTACTAGTGAGTCGTAGAGTTTGATCTTTCTCTTCTCAGTTATCTGACTCCTCTCTGATCCCTGGCACCACAGCTTGTCAAATGACCAGAAGGCAGAGTTAGCTTTATTTATTCTATTAGTAACATCCTGCTCTGATCCAAGCTTAGTACCAAGAAGCGTCTCGTTTCTCCACTCCTCTTTTCCTCTTAGTTCATTATCCCACTCGTCACAGGCACCAACTTCTTCTAAATACACTCTGGTAAACTTTGTCTTTGTGTCATTGACAAAGAGACTCCATTCACTGAGAATATTCTTGGAGATCTGAAAGATATCCTGTAACTCCTCCATATCTTCACCAATCTCCTCGACATCGTCTGAATAGCCGGACTCAAGAGGCATGTGGTTATCGGCTATCGGAGGGTTGGGTCTTGAGGGGAGGACTGCTCTTATGTGCACTACAGCTCCAGCTAGATTGAGGGTAAACAATTTACCAGCTGTGCTGTCTCCTTGGGAGGCTCCTATGTTGAAAGAGAACATCTCTGAGTCAGTAGAACACACTCTGACTACTAGAGTGGTGTTAGCCATGAGGTATTGTACAAGCCTCAGGTCGTCTCTGGAGCATCCTGCAGCTTCTAGTAGTCTGATTGTTGTACCTCTGCGGATGGTATTGAAGGCAGATGACATGTCGATACTCACTTTGTTCCATTCAAACTCCTTCTTCATTACTACAGATATGAGCATGCTCTGTGCCCAAACTAGGTCGGCACAGCTCCTGCCAGCTTTGTAGGCAGCTTGGAACGGTCCGGTGAAGTTGTCCACAGCTCTCTTTATTCTGTTTAGTACTATCAGTGACAGGATCTTTCTAGAAACATTCAGCAGGGTCAATGCAAATGGTCGTATCGACTTAACTGGGCCACGAGTTTTACCAGGCTTAGCCAGTGGTGTGAGGATGCCTGCTCCTATTGCTTCAATGTGAATGTTTTTCTCGAAAGACTCGTTGAACACTTTAGCTAGCTCTTCATGAAGGAGGGGGGGGGTTGTTCAGGGCTTTCATGACCTCGCCAGGAACTTTATCAATACCCACTGCTTTACCAGACTTGAGTTTACTGATAAGATTGATAATGATCTGTAAACATGTTTCGAATGGGTATAGGTAGCCTCTTAAAAATAATATTCATTGATATCTCGAGGAACCTGTATATTAGTGTTACATAACAGTTCACCAAATGACCTGAAATACTTGCTTCCTATTAAATACAAAATGATGATGACATAATAAATGCTTAAATATATCCATATTCACTGCTGCATAGCAACATAGCACTCCTTTATTAGTTTTCTATAATAACGTTAATCTAGTATAATCTAGCATTTATTCGGGTTTCTTTTTCATCTGGTCGCTCAAGAAATATGGATGCGATAACTATTAACTATGGCCCATGGAATGGAGAGAAAGAATGTGTACAGTGCTTTATCATTACATGAAGACACATCTGCAATTGCACATGCACGTGGAAGTACAGTTTTGCATCCTGCAGTTCACCTCAAAAAGGTTAAATCTACAGGCCAGAAAGCAGAACGATTGAAATGGACTGGTGGTATAATAAGCCTAGGCAAGTTGGCAAAAACGCTGGACAGGGCATCGAGGGACTGCATTCGAGAAGGGAAAAGAAACAATTTCCCTGTGTTCGCCGCAGTCGCAGATCCAGAAGAACAGAGTGGGAAGCCAATCGTCCATGGCCAAGTACTTTCTTGGGAAGCTGTAGATGATGAAGCTGGATGCCTCGAGGATGAGGACGACTTAGCTTATGAGGTAGAACCTGGAGTTGATGATTGTGATGTTGGAGAAACGATATCAACAGATAAATATGGAACAGTTTCCTTCCGGTCTATTGAGACACTCACGTTCAATGGAGGAAGAAGCACTTTATCAACAAAATCTCGTCTTTCAAGATTCAAGGGGAACGCGTTTGGAGTGTCTTCTGATGTTCGCATATACAATCAACCTGAATGCGGATGTTCAACAGTTTTGAAAGCTGGCAGTACAGAAACTCTTAAAGTCTTCAAATCTCAGCAGGACTTTGCAACAGGAGTGGTTAGATTTATTTCTTATTATTCATGCCCGATGAAGTACTACTGCCAGGAGTATAGCCTAATCAACGGATCTCCTAATGTTTGGCTACTCGTCTAAGACATTTATACATCACATTCATTGTTCCTTGATGACATTCAAAATCGTTGTGTTGTCAATATTTGTATTGTGTACATTTTGAACATCTCACAATTTGCTTTTCTTGAATAGTCTTGAAAATGTTTGGTATATGTTTAATATAATACATTTCTATTTATTTATTTGTCATATGAATCTTTAACGATCATTCCAAGCGTTATAAAGCATGAAACATGTCTATTATTCAAGTACTAATAATATTTGCGAATTTAAAGTCATCCTAAATATAATAAAAGGTCAAATATGAAGACCTAAATTCATGGCATAAATTGGCATAAATGGAGAATTGGCCAAACAAAATTTCCATTTATGCCATGAAATTTCTATGCCATTTGATGAATTTTATGCCATTTGTCTCCATTCTATGCCATTGGTACCCCCCCCCCCCCCCCCCCCCGTCAGAGCATTTGTTTACTTTTAACAAACAACAAACGATCCGCTGAAATTACGTTATAACGTAATGATAAATCATTACCAAACTGCTTTCATAACCACATGTTTATATAATGAGCTATCCTTCAATACTTAAATCACATACTGCGCTGAAAAATCTATACTTCTCATTTCCCAAAGAAAAATAATAAAATACACTATCAATTTCTCCTACAATAGTATAGACTTCCCAATTAGCGAATAATAGTTAATTTACCGTTGGGTAATTTCCTAATTAATTGATATTTAATTTCAGACAGATTGTTCAGTTCCAGCTCCGTACCCACACTTGCTGATGTCAAACAGAAAGTCCTTATCAAGGTGGGTAATATTGAGCAGTGTAATGTGTAGTGAGATAGAGTTCCTTTCTAAGTTTCTACGTGCGAGAGTGATTTCCTTTATACGTGATAACTCATAATGCTGGTGCAGCGATGTTGGGCACCTGAGTTTCAGTATTTTAAATACTTTCATAAAGTGTGGTACTGGTATTCAAATATAGATTTTCAAAGGCCAGGCTGTTTGGTTGCTTTACCAGCCCATTATATAATACCTTTGTTACTATTCAGATAATATGATATACTCGAGCTCTCGCCTCTCAACTATAAAAGTATAAATAGTTGCCACTTGAACATACCAAAATTGGAGATATACTCACTCAGATGTTCTTAAAATAACGTAATGTCTCACTGATAAATATAACAGTAAATATTTATCAGTCCTAGTCCTGTTATAACAGGCTATTAACATGGTTAACCACCTTCCTTGTGTTGTTGGTTAATCATATGAGCGGGATATAAATACCTCATTTCATTTCATTTCAACTTAGTAACCCTAGTAACCTTAGTAACCTTAGTAACCCTAGTAACCTTAGTAACTAAGTAACCTCGCCGAGTCTCGTACGCAGTTAATATTAGTATTTATAGCATGTTATCTTCTTACATAACCATAATACGTGAATAAATCCCCCGGCTGAGCCATCAGATCCAACAATAAGACCAAACTGCATAAGTTAATAATATGAACGGGTCCAAACCCTCCTCTTTTATCAAACTAATCTTTATCTGTGAGTTTATTATTACAATAAAGTTATGAATTACTTACTTATATGTAGTGTCTTTATCTTAAACTGGTCTCTAAGATCTATGCCCCTAAAATACATATAATTTGATTCATCGCTCTATATATTATTACGTATATAATATATATATTATGAAGGAGCACTATATCCCTCCCGTCTGGTTAAGGGCGCAAGTTAAAGCTGCAAGTTAGTGAGTGGCCACTAGTTTATAGAGTTCTACAGGTCATGCAATTTAAACTTGTGCAGACTAATTTGAAATTATAGCCAGTTGTCACGCTGTCGAGGTAGGCACCAGTAACCATGGTAACCAGGGAGGTGGTTGTGAGGTTGTAGTCAGTGTCTGAGATGGAGCTCACTGGTTACCATGGTTACTGGCTCACTGGCTGGGCTCATGAGACTCACCTCACCTACTGTAAATGGTATAAGTAACCACACCTTCTCTCTGCGCCTTTCTTTGCACCCCTAGCTGCTGCAACCAAGAGAAGCATTTTATAGATTTTTAATACTTGAAGAAAAATTCATAAAGTTTATAAGTCTCGCCCTTTGGACCTGTACTGACTTACTTGACTGACTTAAGGCGGCTTCAGCGTCCGAGTATTGATGCGCTGTCTCCATAAAACTCTATCCGCCATAAGTCCGCCCATTTCTCCAGTGTCGTTGAGACCCGTGTCAGCTCGTAGGCTATCAACATAGGTCATGGCTGGTCTCCCCCTACTCCGCACCCCATGAGTTGGTTCCCAGAGTAGCAAGCGGTTTGCGACTAGTTCTGGGTGCCGGTGGATATGGCCTGCTAGTCGCATCCTGCGCTCTTGGATCTTCATGGTTGCTCTCGGTAGCTTGCCATAGACTTCTTTGTTGGTTTTTCGCTGCTTCCAATCCACATTAAGTGCCATCCTTAGCATTCTAGTGTAGCAGCCATCAATGCGTTTCTTCAATTGCTCTGTCAACGTCCACGTTTCAGAACCATAAAGAAGTATTGACTCCACAGTAGCAACAAATAGACGGATCTTTAGTCCTCTTCTAAGGTCAGACTTCCACATCTTCTTTAGCTTGTGGCAGGCTGCCCAAGCCTTAGCTTTTCTGACCCGCAGGTCCCTCTCTGTTGTTGCTATCCAAGCTCCAAGGTAAACAAAGTCTGTCACCTTTTCCAGCTGGTTTCCAGAACAGCTATTAAGACTACTCGCCTCCTCTGTCATGTTTAGAGTCATGAACTTAGTTTTAGAGCCGTTCATGGCTAGCCCAACACTCAGTGCTGCTTTCTCAAGCCTGTCCAGGAGTAGTTTTGCCCCTTCAATGGTATCAGTGATAAGGGCAACATCATCTGCAAACTCGACGTCTGCGATCTTCTCGGTACCAATCCTTCTACTCCGTGCAGGCCTGAGAGTAAACCCAGAGTCCGAGTCATCATCGTCTATAGTCACTGTCATGATATAGTCAATCACGATAATGAACAAGTACGGGGCAAGAGTGTCTCCTTGCAGTACTCCAGCCAGAATATCAAAAATTTCTGTTATACCATCGGCTGTAACTACTTTAGCCTTTGTGCTCGTATAGATACCCTCAATGAGCCGCACTATGGCTTCTGGTATGCCATATGCTTTCAATATCTTCATGAGCAAACCTCTATGCACACTATCGAACGCCAGTCTTCACCACGAGGAGGTAGCAGGATAGGACTTGTTGTGGAGAGGCTTCATCTTGCTGTTCGATGTGGTACTGGAAAAGGGCACCAACGGGGTAGCCCTTTTTCGAGGTTCTGGCTGCTGCAGGCAGATCCAGGGTTTCTATCCAGCGGTGACGCTTTGGGTCACCTGCGCTTCACACAACCATTGGAAGACCCAAAGGACCTGTAGGTTACATAACTATGAATTAGTTTTGGAAATCATAAAACTGATCACCTAATCTCAGTACACCTCGACTACTGACAAGTAACTACTGACCCTACTGACTGGTAACCATGGTAAATACTGACTGGTAACCATGTAACTACTGACTGTGTCTGGTACTAGAATCATATAATACGTGTGACACTAAAACTGCAACTGTTTAACCACTGAACTGTCTATTCTACTCTAGCATAGTATTAGTAGTTACTATATGGACACGTTCATTGAAGTTTGAGGATATTGGTAAATTTCTAAAATAGCGTTTTCGACGATAGTGGCTTAATTTTAGCATCTATTAATCTAGCGTGTTCATAAGTTCTGAACATTAGCCACGTGACCCATACTCCCATATGCACTGCTCAGAAATAAAATGTATTGCTTTTAGGCACTATAATGTAAAAAATGTCACATTTTTGTGACATTGTTTACCATAGCTGCCCAATTATCATTCCTTGGTCTGAAATATAGTAGATTAGGTCAATCTAACAATTATGATACAGCATTGGTTAAAGGGCACGGATCGAACGGCTTTAAGACAATATTTCGTAAACTTTGTCACACTCAGAATACGAGACCTCTTTTCTACTGTGAGGTGTCCTCAAAACCCTTTCAACTCATTATTTGATGGTTCTTCTGCCAATCATAGCCCTAAAATATGTTGTTTTGAAAAGTTAGCTAATACATGCACTTGGTTATTGGGAAATGGTGTAAATTCTGTCACATTATATAATGGAATTTGAAATTCTGGGTGAATTTCCGAAATCATTTATATCTGATTTTGGTGTGGAAGGCGGGAAAACTCTATATAAGGACAATACACGGATACAGTTGATTCAAGTATAGGGCAGTTGATGTAAACATCGTTATATCATTGTTATATCATTGATTTTGCATTTGTTGCGTTTTTGTTACTCCCTTATCAGCAAATTCCATTTGAGATAAGACGTACAACTCATCACAGTGTGTGTAGTGTATACTGGGCAACTTTCGGATACTATACATTGTACATGCACAATTATGATTGAAAACTTTGATGAAAAGGTTCGGTTGGTCATTGGTGGTCTCATGGCGAATCCAAAAGCAGATGCACTTATGAAGTCTGTTCTCACGGCCTATGATCCATCTAAGGACCGATCCAATAACAGAACTGTTCTCGGTGGTTCCAGATTTCAAGTACCAACACTTGACGCCTGTGCAAGCTTCTTTAAGATTGCGACAATTGATGATAATAGTCGAATCTACAGTAATAAGCCAGCTCTTGCTATGCGCATTATTCTTGAAATTGAAACCCTTTTTCCTACCATCTGTGGGCAGTGTGATGAAGAATATTGCAATAAGTTTGAGTCTCCAACTTCTCCTGTATTGCGTTGTTTCTTGTGCTTTCAAGGCTCTCACAGTTGCGAACAAACCACTCAAGCTGCAGCTAATCTCCACAAGTCACCAACAGCGCTACCTCATGGTACTGTGTGGCTCTGCAAACTGTGCTTAACGCAAAATAATCCTGTGCCCAGCAAGCGTTCCAAATCAAATCGCCACCGCTATCCTTCAACTGTTAGTGTAGCGGTTTCAACCCATCCTTCACAGACGGCAACTCCTAATGAAAATAAACATCCGGATATCGACGCAGATGAACTATCTAAGAAACTGGATGCAGTTCACCAGCAGCAGCAACAACCTACGGCTATCAAACCGAGTGAGGATGATACAATCTGTGTTGACTACACAATGGGGAAATGCCCTCACGGAATAAGTGGACGGACTCTCCACCAGGGTAAAACTACATGCAGCAAGCTTCATCCTAAGCGCTGTAAAAAGTTTACACGTTTCGGCACTGATTCTAATGGGGGATGTAGTTTAGGTTCAGAGTGTCAGCTCTACCACCCAAAGCACTGCAAAAACTCGGTTCAACACAAGCAGTGTTTTAAAGAACAATGCACTCTAGTTCATCTGGTGGGAACTAAGCGTGTGAAACCCTCCAAAGATAAAGATACTCGGAAGAAGGACGGCAAACATCCAGGTGGTGAGAGCCGTCCAGATCGGGGATCTTACAGGCGCACTGAGAGTACTTCTGCTGCCAACGAGCCTTCGGAAAAAACGACCGGCAACTCTCAACATTCAACCTCTTTTTTAGAGATACAGAACCTACTCAAAGTGACACCAGTTCCTCAATGGGCTCGATTTCATCAGCACTCTTGCTGAATGTGCAATCCATTAACCCTAGTGCTCGCAGCTCAACCAGATGGAAAATCCCATACACCCGGAATAAAGTAGAGCAGAAATCTAAACATATTTCTGTTCCATTTATTGCCCTTACTGAAACATGGTTGAAACCTTATATCCACGATTCACAGTTAGAT